GCCACTTGAACTCTCACTACTGGAGAAATAATTAAGAAGAAAGGAAGATAAAATCAGATGCTCTTGGGGCAGAAGAATAAAGAGAAGAGCATCCCAGTACAGGGAGGATGCAAGTATGCCTCTGCTCCCTAAAGTCAGAGCCCAGGGATCACAGTGATGACCAGTCACCTTCATCTGCATCTAGTGGGGCAAATATGGGCAAAAACAGGATTTGGAGGCCACTGAGGCACCAACTCCTGGCATCTCACGGACTTCAATCTGTGAAGGACAGTTTCAAAAACAAAGCTAGGATTGCCACCACACCCCCAGGTAGAAAGCTCATTTTTGTTTCAGGTGTGAGAAAAAAACATCTTGTGGCAGACTGCCCTCCTGAGGGAAAAGTTCAGGGAGGGGGCCCTGCCAGGTGTGACTCAGCAGTTGAGCATCAAGCTAGAATCCAGAAGATCGGGGTTCAATTCCCGGTCAGGGCACATGCCCGGGTTGCAGGCTCCATCCCCAGTCGGGGGTGTGCAGGAGGCAGCCGATCAGTGACTCTCTCATCATTGATGTTTCTATCTCTTCCTTTCCCTCTCCCTTCCTCTCTCTGAAATCAATAAAGATATTTTTTTTTAAAAGGGGGGGGGCAACTCAGAGAGGGAGAGCTTGCCCTTCATGTGGCAGAAGACTTACCACTTTTCCCAGATCCTAAAATGGAAAAATGTCCAGCTATCTTTCCTTGTTGAATGCTACTGCTACTATGTTTGACCCCAAGTTTTAACTGGCCTGGTGGAGCCCATGACTGACTGTCTGGGTGGGGTGGGAGTGGCACCCCAGAGGGGCAACTCAAACCTTTCCTGGTAAATAACTACAAAGCTAGGGAGAGTCAGACCTCTGCATCCAAAAGGGCTGCAGAACTGAGTCACTCTTACTTTACGGGGGATGAAGGGAGGGAAGGGTCAACAGACTAAGATCAATCTTCTGGGCCTTAAGACTGGAGAGACTCAGATGCCAGGAGCAAATAATGTACTATGTTTACTCTCCCCTTCACTCAACACTCTGAGGGGTATTGTGTAACAGACCTGCTGAGATGTTAAATATGTCTGTGAAGGAATACGGTGGGGGGAGGGGGCAAATAATTTGTTATTTATGCTATTCTCTTTTATGAAGACTGGAACTCTCTTGTTTGAATGGTGGAGAGTGTAAAAATTCAAATTACTGGAAAAGAGATTGGGGGGGGACAGGGTGGAGATGGCAGAGATCATAGAAAGGTAGGAAAGCCAAGCTTATGGCTGGAGAGAGGCCCAGAGAGAGGGTGTCTAGTGAGAAAAGAGGGACTGGCTGAGGAAGGAGCTGAGGTGAGGAACAGATGTTTAAAAGGAGTTATTATATAGAGTTTTGTGGTGTGAGATGCCATGAAATTGTCTCTTTGTGAAACCTTCAGTAAAATCTCCATTCATCAGTGCTTTGCAACTGGGGTTGGATGCAGGGGGGGAGCTCAAATTGCTGGGCCCATACCTGGTCAAAGAACCCAGCCGCATTCAGGGGCTGTGTAAAAACACAATGCCAAGTCACATTCTCAAAAACACTGGAGGTGCACACAGCTTCACGGTAAGTGGGAGAGAGAAGAGAGATTCAGAGAAGGCCCCACAGAAGAGGTGGCAGCAGAGATGAGCCTTGAAAGAGGATCAACGTTTCTACTACAATTGGGGACAGGGGGACTTCAAGTACAAGAGGCCAAGAGCAGAGGCAGGGAGGTGTCAAAGCGTTTGGTATGTTTACTGAGTGATATTGTCTGCATGGGGAAGAAGAGCAGGCTGGAGAGAAAAATAAAAAGAATGGCTGGAGGAACTATGGATGTTTGGCAACCTGAAACCTTAGAGACTGTCACAGATGCTCTGGAGAGCAAAACAAGGACTGTCATATGCTATTTGCAAGAAGACAGAATATGGAACAATATACTATATCCCTGAAAGGAGAGGTCCCCCCCCCCCCCC